ATTGGATGGAACTAGAAGGGAAGGCCCAGGACAGAGTGGGTTGGAGAATGCTGGTCGGCGGCCTATGCTCAATTGGGAGTAACAGGCGTAAGTAAGTAAGTAAGTAATTACGTCACTTATTCACTCTCTTTTATTCCCACCTTATGTATCCTTATTTTTCGACTTATACAGCGGCTCATCTATGGTGGAAACTCGGTTTTATCTAAACGTTCTCGAGTCACTGACTGGTTGGAAGTTGAATGCTACCGCCAAATACGAACACTCAAGCAGTTTTTCTGAAACCACGTGCACCATTCAAACTGGCTGCCTTCAGCGTTCGCACCCTTGTGCAGATCGGACAAAAGATAGGGCTATCTATGTCTTTAAAAAGTCTTAATATCGACGTTTTTTATCTATCCGAGGCACGTATTCAAGACTCTAGTGAAGTACTACAAATCCGCTCTCCATCTATCGCCTCAAAAGGCTTGTTTTACGTGCATTTATCCGGGGACCCTGTAGCATCTTCGTCTGGTCATTTACGGTGTAGGCGAGATATCCGTTTACGAACCCAAGGACAAGTTTATTGCGCAGCAGTTCGTTCTGTCCTACTTTATGGAAGTGAAACATGGCCAGTAAGAGTAGAGGATATTCGTAGGTTACTAGTATTCGACCATAGGTGTCTTCGAAGCATTGTTCGTATATCCTGGGACTACTGAGTAAGTAATGTAGTTGTTAGGAAGCGGGTACTAGATAAGGATAGCAAATCAATTGATGAAGCAGTGAAACTTCATCAGTTGAGAAGGCTGGGATACGTGTTACGTATGCCCAGCCACCGACTGCTCCGATGTGCGATGTTTAACGGTGTAGGAGTAGGTTGGAACAATGCTAGGAGCGGCCAGACCAAAACATGGCACAAATCCATGAAGTCTCTAACAAGTGGACCGAGCCATATTGGTAGGTGTACACTACCTGGTTTGGATCCGTGAGACGATAGCAACCGATGGTTAGAGACCTTGAATGACATGGCTCAAAGTCGTTTGCAGTGGCGTAGGTGCATCTACTCTTTATGTTCTCCCAAATCTTAATGTTCTAAATTCTTCATGTCCCTTACTTTTTTTTCTCTTTCCAAATTTATTTCACTGGATTATACTCCTTGAATAACATCTTCAAACCCTAATCTTTCCGATTACTGCTTATACTTTCACTACCTCTACCACTGCGGGATTTGAATCGACAATTGTATCTGTGTGCTCTTGTGGTAAGGCAACTTGAACTGATATACGTACGTATGAAATTCTACGTTGTTGCTGGTTGACTGGGAAGCATCGATCACGATTAATGCACGCGACTATATGATTAAATACATCTAGCTTTGATTCATTCAACGACCGTTGTTGCTACCTTGACGTGATGGTCGGGCTTGCCTATCGTGATGAAGCAACCGAGCTATACTGGCTGGAACAACCGTTCCTCAAGGTCCTACCATGTCAGACAGGTCGGTTGAAGAGCGGTAAGACTAAAAGCAACAAACCCAAGGTCCGAAGGCGAAGTCGTACTGCTGACTGTAGAGGGGTGTGACAGCAGTAAGGTGTTTCCCTCGGACAACCAGCATGACAGCGATGCTGCCTTCCCACAAGGAGGGGTGGGGTTAGAAAAGGTCGACCCTAAAAATGCACACCTCGCCTTATCCCACGGATATCCGTCTCCGGCGGTAAGGTCTCAATAAGTACGGAGCTAACACAAAAATTACCCATAACAAGGTCGTGTGTGACCGACCTCAAGCAGTTGTCCCTTGGGCACTGCGGTCACGCTCTCAGGTCACTAAGACCACCTTTAATCCAAATTCCTTTTCAGGTACCTCCAGAAGAACCCTTCCACGGTGTGGGCAGTTTAAACCAAACAGAAAGGCATTTAGGTGGATATTTTAGTATTCCGACACAGCGAACAGATAATGGTGATCGTCTGCTGCAGCTATGCTCAGACAATCGTTTATTTTTAGCAAACACAAATTTTAAGCATAAGGAGAGACATCGTCTAACATTGCGACCCCCTACACCAAACCAACGATGGACTCAAATAGACCATATTGCCATCAGTCATCGTTGGAGAGGGTCGGTAGAAGATTGTCGCTCATTCTGGAGTACCTGCTTGGACTCCGACCATGCCCTAATACGGGCACGCATCTGCTTGCGCCTCACTGGACGCAAAAAAGCCACATTAAAAAGACCCGTTAGAACTGAGTTGAGTAACGAGAAAACCAAAAGTAGGTTCCAGGAACAACTGAGGTCACACTTAGGTAGTTGTGAAGACGAGGCTGACCCAGATGTTGCTTGGAAGGGCATACAATCAGCTGTGGAAACAGCAGTGACATCTATTAGTGACTTAAACCACAGAGTTGCAAGGAACCAGTGGATTTCTTCAAGGTCTGTCACACTGATGGATTCTCGCAAACTCGTCCCATCAGGTTCTGAACATGATGAAGAGCGAAAACAAATCAGATCTAGGTTAAGAAAAAGCCTAAGAAACGACCGTGAGCAGTGGTGGGCATCGAAAGCAAAAGAGATGGAAAAGGCGGCGACTATAGGGAACACAAGACAGCTTTACAGACTAATAAAAGAAACTGGAATTAATAAGTCAAGTGTAAGTGAGATTATATCGGAAAAAGACGATACACTCATCTGCTCCAAGTCCAGGCGTTTAGAACGATGGGCGGAACACTTTAGGGAACAGTTCAGCTGGCCTTCAGCTACTCTACAACTACCCTCCATTCCCAGACAGTGTGAATGGAACATTGAAGTAGGTCCCCCGACTCTTGCTGAAGTTCAAAAGGCTATAGTTAATCTGAAACGAGGAAGGGCAGCTGGTCCAGATGGATTGGCTCCAGAGGTCTTTAAGGATGGTGGTCCAATTTTAGCGATTAAGTTGACTAATATTTTAGCTAAGATCTGGGAATTAGACTTTATCCCATCTGACTGGTCGCAATCACTTATCGTCCCAATATATAAGAAAGGGTCAAAATCATCCTGTGACAACCACAGAGGGATTAGTTTAACAAACATAGTTTCTAAAATACTGGCCTCGATAATTATCAAACGCCTAACTAAGACTCGTGAACTACAAACTCGAGAGAACCAAGCTGGCTTTAGACCTGGTCGTGGCTGCATCGACCACATATTCACCATTCGTCAGGTTCTAGAACACAGGCATACCTATCGGCGTCCGACGATGGTGGTATTTCTTGACTTAAAAGCAGCATTTGACTCGGTAGACAGCGAGACTCTGTGGCAGTGTCTGTCATTGAAAGGCGTACCTCAGAAGTACATAAACCTTGTGAAGGCTCTTTACTCGAACACTACTAGTCGAGTCAGAGCTTATGGCGAACTGTCATCTACTTTTGCAACCTCAAGTGGTGTCCGTCAAGGCTGTCCACTTTCTCCATTTTTGTTTAACTTCATCATAGACCTATTGATGGAAATAACACTCTCGTCGACTGAATTCTCGGGTATTGATCTCCTTCCAGGAGGTCCACTTATCGACTTAGAATACGCAGACGACATAGTCCTGTTTGGTGAAGACGCTGACAAAATGCAGTCTTCTGGTAGCAGTAAGCAACAATGCCAGAATGTTTGGGATGAGCTTCTCTCCCTCTAAATGCAAGTTGTTGCTTCAGGACTGGTTTGGGTCAACACCTGAACTAAGGATAGGGAGTGAAGTAGTTGAACGCGTTGACAACTTCACTTATCTTGGAAGTCTGATCAGCCCTAATGGGTTGGTGTCTGACGAAATCTCAGCACGGATTCGAATAGCTCGTTTGGCTTTTGCCAACTTACGTCACTTCTGGCGAAGGCGAGATATCCGTCTATCAATAAAAGGACGAGTACACTGCGCGGCAGTTCGTTCTGTTTTAATTTACGGCAGCGAAACATGGCCCTTAAGAGTAGAAGACACCCGTAAGCTACTAGTATTTGACCACAGATGCCTTAGAAATATTGCTGGCATCTGCTGGGATCACCGGGTAAGTAATAGTGAGGTTAGACGCAGGGTATTAGGGAATGATGGTAAATCAGTTGATGAGGTTATGAATCTTCATCGACTGAGATGGTTGGGCCACGTATTACGTATGCCTGAACACCGATTACCACGACGTGCAATGCTAACCGGGGTAGGGGATGGTTGGAAGAAAGTTAGGGGCGGCCAAACCAAAACGTGGCATCAGTGCCTGAAGTCACTAATTTCTAGTCTGAGCCATGTTGGTAGATGCAGACTACTTGGTTGGGGTCCGCGTGACTATCGTAACCAATGGTTGGAGACTCTTGGTGACATGGCTCAGAATCGATCACAATGGCGTCGGTGTATACACTCCCTGTCTTCCCTTAAACTAAAAGATTAAAATCACTTCATTCTTTCTGTCTACGAACTAATTCTTTCTTCCTATACTATATCCTTATTGCAACCTTTGACCTAACCACTCCTATGGATCCGCTGTTCATCTTGCTGTGCTAATGAGGTATGGCAACCTGGACCGATGCACATATGTGCCTGGTCCTACGTTGTAGCTGACTGACTGACTGACTGAAACATAAAAGACTCTCTGTACTATTCTCTTCCTAGACTAAACGAATTCAGAATATAAATAACGAATTTGTGGAGAAATCAAATAAGAACGAACAAAACCAGTTGTTATGGTGCAGAAACATGCTTACGAAGTCCTTGTAAGTAGAACAGAAATGAATATGCAAATAGTAAAAAATCATTTTTGATCGTAGCACTAATAAAGAGTGTTTAATGTAAAAAAATTCAGTAGACAAAGATACAATTCGTAATTTACGAAAACGTAATATTAAAGTCATAAGAGAAATGGTTGGTTGGAGGGATTTTCACCACCTACTCGCCCCTAACAAACATAAAGATATGTCAATATACTTTTAGTATTGTCATTTGAACAGAAAAACGATAACTGACAGACAAGAGGTAAAACAAAGAATACGAATATCAATATAAAAACATGTACACACACTCACCTTAGATGGGACAAGATCAACCAAAGTCAATAAACGATTACGTGATATACTTGTCTTTCGATGATGATCAATTAATTGGTTAATGGAATCAAATTTAGATAACCAGAAAAAATATTTTCCAGCTTCGTCTTGAAGTACTTTAAAATGAAGAACTTCACAACCTTGTCTAAAGTAGAAAAAGTGGAAATAAATGAATGAGTGGGAAACATACAAGCGAAAAACTCTATATTAAAAGTAAAAAAATAAGCGGATACTAAATAATGTGAACAGAAACTAAAGTAAAATGAAGCGACTCAAATTGATGATGATAAGGATATTTTAGGTAGATTTGGTAGTTAGCAGAACACGCATTTCATCCTGTTTGGAACCCATCAATTAGATGCACCTGAACCTGTGTTGATGTTCAGATCTGGACTTGAATCCAGCAGCTTTCGCTTCAAACGCTCAGCGCTTTATTTACTTAGCTACTGAGTATAGATAGCCATGATGTGATTATTTGAATCTTCCCGTCTGTTATGGACTGCAATCGACTAGACTCTTTAAGAACATATGTGCATATTATGCGAACTGCCTTGATACTTTTATAATGTTTGATCAACATAAAGGGAATGGTGAAGTTTTTTGCGTTACAAATGGCCAGAAGAAATAGTTCATAGGTCTTTAAAAGCCTTATTATTATTATTATTTATAAAAGTTAAAATATGGAAATGCATTTTTATTTTATTTTGAAGATAGTTTCGGTGAAGTTGCATTCTATGGAGTTGCGCAACTGTTTTTTGCTAGACATCATTATCATAAACGCAAACTTCAGAAAGAAATGAGATACTGTAAATCTTCCAAGGTGTGTTTTGTTTACTGTTATGATTTTAAGTCCGGCTTTTTATCACGTGATTTATCCACCAATCAAAATGCGACTTATACAATCTTAACACTATGCCAAACCAATGAAGTTCAACCGGTATGAGTAGTCTAGCGTCCTTATTGGTCCTACGTCCTCCTAACCCCTCCACTTGAGTCCAGAACACAATACCACCTTCTGCGATATGAATCGAATCGTTTATTTCAGGCATACTCGGTTTATATATCAATCAGACAGACCACAACGTACCGTAAAATAGAAAATAACAAGTGTACACAAATAAGCCCAAAAAGTGGCTGTGAATGTGGGAGGCAGTAGTTAATAAACTGAACATGGCTTAAGAACCGTAAATCGTATAATAATAAATTATAGGTCAAAACAATGCTTATAATAAAGGGAATATAAATATACATAATCTAATTGTTGAATAGTTATACAGTAAGAATATTTATAGAATATTAGTCCATTAATAGTCCTCGGAAGTTACCCGTAATTTAGTCTTCGCCCGGATATAACATTGACACTGGATTTAATTTGGTTGTTATCAATCAAACAGACAAGAGAACATAATATCATCAGAATCACCATCCTGGGTTAAAAATACCTTGTTGCACACTGACATTAACTTGCTAAACATGGATGAGAGGACCATCGATAGCTTTTTGATTATATTTCTGGACTTTACAGCAGTATGCAAATATAATCAAGCCAGGAATCAAATCCAGGGCCAGTAGTGGACCAAGTGGGGATCCCATTGCTACAGCATCCTTTTGTCTATAAATTACGTCGTTGAATGTGAACTGTACATTACAAGTGCAACGTAGTAATAGTTCCTTCAAATAAACATCCGGTATTCCGATGCTTATCTCATTATTATTTATGTACTTGCAAATCAAACTAATGGTCTCTGTGAGTGGAACATTAATGAATAATGATTCGACATCCAGAGGTACCATAATTTTGTCACTTACATTCACTTTTATGTGCTCGATAAATTCAAAAGTATCACGTACGGAGTGCTTACAAATGTGTTTTCCAACGGGTTCTAGGAGACTTGCCAGCCACTTTGCTATACAGTGGTAAGGGGATCCTGACATATCGAGAATCCGTCTAAGAGGTAGGCCAGTTTTGTGTATTTTTGGCATTCCGTATAATCGCGGTATTATTGATGCTGTTGATTTTATGCGCTCAAAGACATGTTTGTCGATTAGCTGATCATTTTTCATTCTCTTAAAAACTTCAATCAGTTGCTTTTCCATAATTTCAGTCTTGTTTTCTCATTGATTGATTCAGTGATAAGGACATAGAGCCGAAAACGCAGATAACTACAGTAGAAAAGAAAACTTTTACATGAACATCGGGTTCTTGGGTGACAGAGCCACACACACACACCCTAAAAAGGAGAATTTCAGATTCTTTAAAAAGAACATTCCCCGCAACAACATTGCGAATAGTATTCTCCAGCCGATCATTGTTCACCAACAACCTTAAAAACAAATTATCGCATCTGACCAACTCAATGTGCATTTACCAATTTACCTGCTCATGTAGAGCTGGGTATATAGGTCGTCTGATGCGTACTTTATCCAAAAGAATTCAAGAACATTGTCGGGTTTGGCTAAAAAGAGGAGGCAACGGCTCAATAAGAAGTTCAATAGTCGAACACCACGTGAAAACAGGTCACTCAATCAAGATAGACTCCGCGTTCAAAGTCATCTACAAGGTAAGTAGATTTTTTCTGAAGACCATTAGACTGCATCTTCTTTGCACTGCCGAAGCATTAGCCATACATCTGGAAAAATAATAACTGTGTACGCAAAAGAGATTGGTACAACCTCTTCTGCTATTTATTTATTTATTTTAACACATAGGTACAAGGAGGCACCAAATACATATGCGCCACACAAATCTCATTCGATATGTGTGAGGGCTGTGATACTGCCCGGGTGTCCGAACCGAAGCAGGTGGTTTTCTTAGGGGACCACTCCCCGAGCCTTCGACCTGAAGGTCTGATCCATAAGGCAGTGGAGCATCGTAAGGAGATGCAGTCCCATGGAAGCCGGTCACCAACAATTGGTTCATACGCCATTTGTTCCCGCAGGATACTGGAGCCCATGTGCACTATTGGTTTGGAATCCGGTTGAAGCGCCGGACATTCGCTTTTCGTCCTCTCATTTCTTCTGCTACTATGGTCTTAATGTCTGATAATTTCTTTTCTTTTTTCTTTTCTCATACTCTTCTTCCTTTACAGCCATCTGCTTCACTTTCCATTTTCCCCTTAAATTTCCTACCCCTAACTGGTTTATTTTTGCTTCTACTATCATCCTGATTGCATTTAATCTTAATTTCAACATTTTATCTTATCATGCTGAGCCATCCATTCCCAATGATAATTTCCCTATTTATCTTTTGGTGAATAGTGAAGCCATTAACAATCAAATGATTATTAGACTTCCATTGTTGTTGTTTTTTTAAATTTCAATACATTTGTTTATTTGACTTCACTGTCACCATGTATAACAGAAGTTTATTATCAGTATTATTATCATCCTGTAAAAATAAGTATATGTATTTGCGATTGTACAGCTTTGAAAATGAATTCACCGAAAAGAGAACTCTTCGCCGAACTAATCTTTCTTATTTAATGTCTTAATGAGTGTATTACGTTTACTTACTGTATTTGTATAAAAATTCAGTCAGCCACCAACCCAAGATCTACGGGACTACCGTTAAAAATTCACCCCATAAATATAGTTGAAATCGATAAAATCAAAAACGAGGAGTACAAAAATGGTGAGTAATGTAGTTTAGTACCCAGTTACGGGTCAGTTGGAGATAGGTTATAAGGAACTAGAAATAAGTGGCTATCATAATAGGAATGTTGAATAGATAGCGTAACAAACGAAAGCCAGTGCTCAAACTGCTGACATGTATGGTACTTGGACGGTTGATGTTGATTTTTTAACTGCTTCCTATTCCGCAGAAATCGTCTACACTTGAACCCCAAACAGAAGATAGAAGATGGGAAATTTGATAAAAGTTTTACTTTCAGGGTTAGTTTAGGTAAGTAAAATAAGGATATTTGTAATTTTACGTCTGACCCTGATATTCTAAAAGCTTATGGAAACATGTCAAAATTAGTAAAATAATAGTTAATTATACATGATGCATAATCTGTTACTTCGTAAAATCCTCTTGAAAGTCCATAAAAATATTTTCTATGAAGAGTAACAATTCCATATGTCTTACCAAACTTCGGTAGGGGGTGTGATTTCTAAGTCCATTATTCGTAAGTGCCTATGTCGACAGATCACAAAACTGTGATGCCAGAAGATCACAGCCTCAGTTTATAATTTAGTGAATAAAGTAACTAACAATTAAAAGTATGTGATTTTTCATACACTCAACATTACATTGCCTTTGAACAAAGATGAATTACACACTAATTAATATAATAAGACACCAATTTTCTAGAAACAATTTGAAGAGATAATACTTGATACATAGTTTGAGTTGCGCAAAGGCCGACTGACTATCTACAGTCGTATTCAGTAGCCGCAAATAATATCAACATACTTTAGACTGGAATATTTCCTTGTTCGTATATTACTTCTCTAAGATCTTAACGTAGTAGTCCTTTAAGATATTATTAAGTATATGTCATAAACACTTACGCAATACCTTTACATAGTATCTAGTACTTAGTGGAGCGAGAAACGGAATATTAGTAGTACTAAATTTGAAGAAATATATAACACTCTTTAGCAAAGTATGAAGAGAAAAATAATTACTTCCCAGGTGAGTTGTATTTTATTTTCTTCCTTCAACTAAGTCTTACCCTAAAGTAATTTTTGTAGTCACTGACTATGTGATCTCATATACGTTTAAAATAGCTGTATTTTCATTTAAAAACCCGTAGTTGTATTGTGAGTCAAATGATTTAGGTTGTTATTAATTATGAGCAGAAACCTAGGTACTGTTTGACATGTTAATCACCAATAAACAACGTAAAACATGGAACATACGTATATCCCTTCAAATTGCACAGCAGTACAGAGAGATATCAAAGCAATGTAGGTAGAGTATTAGTGGTAAAGATTAAAGATTAGAGAATATTTGTGAAAATACAGGTTTGTGGAGTAAAAAAAGTATGCATTTATGAACTTGAGACCTTATTTAGCACAAAAAATAAATGCACCTGTGCTGTTGTGAACGATTTTGATCTGTCACTCAGCGTTTCTAACTTCTGGCTACGAAAATCATGTGAGCACCAACCAGGTAGTCTGCACCTACTTACAAGCCTTATTCCAAGAGCTGACCATGTCCTAGACTAATGCCACGTCTAAATTTGGGTCCACCTAACTTCATTCTAATCTACTCCTACATCAGACATTGCCGCGCGTCGAAACGCGGTGTGGTTAGGCATGCGTGATATATGTTACAACCACCGGTTGATGGAGATCCCTAACTTCAACCGATTCCTTATCTTTACCCTATACCTTATACTCAACCATGTTGACCACTTGATGATCCCAACATACACCAGCACTGCTTTAAAGTGAATATATAATCAAACAATAGTGACCTACGAATGCCCTCTAGTCCAAAGAGGCATATCTCAAAGTTGAACAGAGCAAATTGATGCTCAGTATACTACCCCTTTGGTTGGTAGACAGACCATTACGGAGGAATTATTATCTTACTGACTAATTTCTTTTAAAATATTCCACACGACGCTTAAAAATATGACTGAAGTTGTGACTTATATGCACTATTTTTATTCACCGAGGTCAGTTATGCCTATCTACCACTTAGGATGGCATTATTATTTCGGATTAATTCGGCTTAAGGTTTGATACACAAACCCATACTTAGGTTCTGAGTAAAAAAAGACACGTTCAGCATGGAGGAAAGGATAATCCGAGAAAGCATGTGTCAAGTGATTATCTGGAACTGAGATGTTTTTATTGAACAAAACTTACTTGACAGACAAACTAAATCCTTTACCGTCTGCTTCACTTTGACGCAATATAAAAGCTCCATCTGGTTGCAAATGTTGTGCTGTTTCTTGATCAATTTCTTGAAGTCTTTCTTCGGCTTCCATACGACTACAGTGTCGGATGTACCAAGGGTGAGGACGCATTGTGATGTAATTGCACGGTATTAAACCTGTTCGGCCTTCCTGTTCGGCTAGGTACCAGTTAGGATCGTCTTCCACACATAGTATCTATGAAAGTGAGTGATACGCATGTAACGCAATTGGATAATTTTTGAATGCTAAAAGTCGAGGTTAGTATGAGTGATTCCAAAAAATGAGACAGGAACTGACATAACGATTATACACGACACGACCTAGATAAGAAAGTAAGCTATTTATGGTATGTGGATAACATCTTTTTTAACCTTTTATTAAACACAATAACAACAGCCTGACTATACAACTGAGCTTCACTTTGTTTTAAGATCTATAAGGTCGAACCATTTGTGAAAAAACAGTTGTTCTTATTCATTCTCTACAGTTGGCTTGTTGTGACTGTATGTTTGCTTTTTATACGAGTATAAGGCTCATTTTTACTCTGCAATAGTCCTTTCAAGCTCTTAGGGTTTAACAATGATCCAAGGGAAAGTGGTTCTCGCTCCACAAATTATCGTGACACAAAGTATCAATGAATGGAATGAAGAGTAAAATAACATAAACATAGTTCAAACAAAAACATGGGAGATTAGGCAATGTTCATGAGATATCAAAATTAGGCTGAAGCTGCTTTAGTAGTTTCATAACAACGCTCGAAGGACTTCCCATGGGAGACGCTTACACGAATGACGACATAGAATCACCAAAGGAAAACACATTTGACCACCATGATCCAAGTTACAAAGGCTGTATAGGATACAAACTGCAACCTTAGAAAGAAGTCAATAGAATTATACCATAATATAGTTTAAATAACTTGATGTGACTTACTAACAGAATGTACGGATATTACCACTTGATGCTGATCCATTTTTTAATAGGAGAAACACTATTCAACTGTTTCAGATGAATAAGAGGGTGATTAAACTTTATAGAAAGACTAGCTAGGGCACCACCACTGAGTCTTACCAAACCAGTCAGTTACTTTAAAGAGGTCCGATTTTCAAAAATGTCATGGATAACACTCCGTTAGAGTAGTGATCACTAGCATTTGTTGTTGAGGTTCATTTCGTCAAATTTACGAAAGTGAAACATCTAATTTATAAATCAACAAACCTCTGTTTATACTCTGAACAACTTAGTATTGATCTGCTGCAGAATAAGAACGCATATTACGAAAAATGTTTCGCAAACAGTCATGGAACTATAATCGGCTGTTTAGCTGATGAGTGTTAAAAATCAGACTACACAAAAATAGTAACGGTGAAGACCTTAACAGGACTTGAGTTTCATAGGTATACCACAATAAAAACACGTGGGTGAATAAGCAGAGTGACTTTCAATGTTTTCGGGCATTTCGATGCGGAGTGAAATACCAAGAAAGTTTTCCATTTATCCATTAATAGGTTTTTATCGGTAAAGCCTCTTTTATTACTTTAGTTAGGATCAGAAGCATGGATCTGACAGTATGATCAAAAGCAAACACCTTGTACTTAGACCTGACCGATCGATATGTAGGGCCTACTCAGTGAGCTGCAAAGATTTAATCACCATCTTAAGCTAAACATATATGCAATGAATATACAAAATTATAACACTGAAGCTTATTATGGAAGTGCGCCACATTGTGCTATGTGATTATCTAATATTACTTACCTTTAAGAGACTTCCTTTTTTAAATCCAAGTTCATCTTCAGCGTTGGCAACAAAATCATAGCTAGCCTCAGCCTCCATCCCAAGTCGGAGTAACAACCCAACACGAAGCACTTAGGCACAAGGTCAATGGAAAGGGGTAGCGGGATATTTGTAACCATTGAGGGCTGAGGTTAGGTTGGAATTATACGTCACATTTTGAGTGTAGGGATTGATGTTACTCAGCCAATTACGTGGATTACTACTATGTGAGATTTTCTCATATACATGAACTAAGTAGATCTAAGCGCATGGGTGAAACAATTTCAACGTAATCACTAAATTAACTTTGCAGCTTTTATTATGGCAGTATGATAAACGTTTAAAGAATTCGGAGTCTGTTTCCACGAATTCTTGAATTTCATGGAGCCTTTACACTTTTAATATTCTATTATTGCTAATTATTATCAGTGGTTCTTGTTGGTAAGTGTGACTTCTGTGTGCTGATTCATCGACACACTTGTAGCGGTAAATAAATCCCCAAAGTCAATGGACCTGTAAGTCTTTGACATTTGAGGCTCACTACATTAATTTTAGTGGACCCATCTAGCTGAAGGCTCTCGGTCATGCATTCACATCTGATGACGAGTAGGTACGCTGTGCTCAACTTCCATTATATCCGTTATATCTTCGAACCTTTTCGCTTCTGATTTCACTGGGTCGGCACGTTTGGACTATAGAATGTGTTGCTGGTCAGAGTGTTGTCAAACTCCAAGTACTTGTGTCATCTTCAGTGGTGAGTCCGACGTGATCTGGTACACCTGTTTATAAATTGTCTGTTCCGTTTCAGAACTTTATATATCATTTCTTTACTTTGATTGTATATATTGTGGTATTTTTCGTATTTTCGGATATTTCTCTTCGTCTCGTCCATTCCTATACTTTATATTCGTCATGACCGAACAGAATCCTGAGTTACTTAAGATCAAGACTCTTACGCCACACTCATTCCAGCTAATGGCACTCTGGCCCAACAACATCGAAGCCTTGTTCTGCTACGCAGAAACTGTCTTCTACAAACACGGAGTGACAGAACCACGTCCGAAATTCCTCTTAGTCGTGAAGGCACTACAACAGGTAAGTTACGTCCAGTATATTTGCTAGTGATTTTTCAGAAACTTAGGGAACTCTTTGACGCGAAAATCTAACCGATTGACAAAGGTTATATGAACTCCCCAATAACATTGATCTACAACATGGCTCAGCAACAGACATGTTACGGATGCGAGAGGTTGTAACAGCTTAGATTGATTGGTTAAGAGGTGACCTCAAACAACTAAGTATATGTCAAAACAAGAGAGCTTGAAGCGGTAAATCAATCCTCAAAGTCAGTAGCTCTGTAAGTCTTCGACATTGGATGCTGACCACATCAGCTTTAATGGACTCACCTAGCTGAAGGCTCTCGGTAATGCATCCGCACCAGATCACGACGTGCTCAACATCCGCTGCAATCGCTAGCCAGATTAGACCAGCCAATCCCTGATATAATGATAGCTTATCAAATATATCTTCGAACCTCTTCAATTCTGTCCTTTGATTTCACTTGGTGTGTACGATTCATAAAAGAAGGTGATACTGGTTAGAGAGTTGTCAAACTCCAAATACCTGTGAGATTTTCATTGATGAGCCTAACGTGATCTGAAACACCAAATCGCAAACTGTGAGTCTGTTTCTTTTTGGAATTTCATAAGTCAATGCTTTATTTCAATTTTTTGTATATTGTGTTATTTTGTTTCGAGTTTTTGGACTTTGTTTTCTCCTCGTTCGTCCGCGTACTTAATATCTCACTACGACGGAACAGACACCTAAGGTACTTAGGTTAAGGAATAGGTCCCCAACTTCATTCCAAATAATGCCCTTCTGGCCAGAAAACATCGAAGCCTGGTTCTACTACACGGAAGCCGACTTCTACGAACACGGCGTGAACGACACATGTGCACAATTCCTCGCAGCAGTCAAGGCACTACCGCGCGAATTCAACGGGCACATAACACCTGGTATATTTACTAGTGATGACTCAGAACCCTACGGATCAATTAAACAATCTATCCTTCAACGCGGATATCTAAATGATCGACAAAGGTTAGACCATCCCCTTAATAATATCGACCTGCAACATGGTTCTGCGACAGAGATTTTGCTTAGAATGAAAGAGGTTATCGGCCAAAGGACGTTGGATGATGGCCTATTCAAACAAACTTTCTTATCTAAACTCCCTCGATAGGTGCAAGCTGTGCCGGTTTCGTTTCAAAACAACGCCGTAGACGAGCTGGCTGCATCAGCCGATCGCATCTTAGAAACCACCAAATCATCTAACGTCGAGTTTTCTTCAGTCAAAGAAGAACCTCAAAGGACACAAAATGACATTACGGAACTGTTTCATTTGCTGACACGTTATCTACGGTTTTGTAATGACTGTAAACGGTCACTTACTCCGCGGAAAAGCACCTCACGTAGACGATATGTCTCTAGACTACGAGAGTGGGATATGTCCGACTGGCGCTGGTATCATATCCAGTATCGAAAGTCTTCTAAAGATTGCAGAAAACCCTGCAATTTTCCTAACTCCAAAAAGACCAACACGAGTAACAATTCGTGAAACTTCCAAACCGGCGCGCATTAACGGCATCCGTAGTCGGCGAACATAGCCGTCTGTTATGCGTTACAGATGTGAAAGCGAAAGTTCGCTGGTTCGTCGATACTGGCGTAGAATTTAGAGTTCTTCCTGAAAATTCCAACGACCGGCTTCGCGAATCTGTTTTAAAGTTACAGGCGGTAAACGGAAAGCCAATCGCCACATACGGTAAAAGGTACGTCTACCTTAACGTGGGTTTATGCAAACCCATTCACTGAATATTTGTTGTTGCAGATGTTTCTATGCCTATCATTGGTATAGACGTGCTACAACACCACAATCTACTCATCGATACACGCGAACGGAGGCTAGTAGACGGAAACACTAATTCATCTGTTTGCGTAACTTCTTTTTCCGGTTGCAGATTATCTCCAGTCTCAATTAAGCATATGATAGGCCTATTCTATCAACCACTACTCGATAAGTTTTCTGGGATATACCAACCGCAACCGAAATTGCAACGTTACACACCACATCATCACTACAGGACCACCTGTATTCTCGAAAACACGCCGACTGGCTGCGGATTTCGACCACATGATAGACTTAGGTATCAGAAAACCGTCAAACAGCCCGTGGGTATCCCTCATGCAAATGGTCTCTTAGAAGGACAGCAACGATTGGCGTCCAAATTGTGACTATCGGCGATTGAACGCGAAAACCATTCCCGATAGTTACCCGTTGCCTCACATTCACGACTTGACAGCTACCTTGAAAGGTACAACTTTCTTTTCGAGAATTGACTTGGTTAAAGCGTATAACCAAATCCCTATGGCTACTGACGACATTCCAAAACGGCTATCATAATTCCCTCAGGACTCTACGAATTTTTGCGAATGCCTTTCTGTCTAAGAAACGCTGCCCAAACTTTCCAAAGGTTCATAGATGAAGTTTTCTGAGGTCCCAACTTCGTACATGAGTATGTTGATGACTGCTTAATGGCATGTCAGGACAAAGAATCGCATCTCCAGCATCTGGATCTTGGTTTCGAACGACTAAAAAAACATGGCATTACTGTAAACATTCAGAAATGCCGAATCGTAACAGACTCCTTAGACTCTCCAGGACACACTATCGATGCGCAAGGCATCCGACCTCTTAGAAGCACAGTGGCGGCCATTTTGGACCACCCAAAACCGACCACCATTAAACAATTGCGCACATTTAATGGTCTTGTAAGTTTCTATAGAAGGTTCATACCAAAATAGGCGTCACTTATGAAACCGCTAACCGACCAACTTTGTGGAAATGCGAAGTCCATTAGTATGGACGACACCTTGCATAAAGCATTCTCCACAGTTAAGGAACTTATCGCTCAAGCATCAATATTTGGACATCAGGACACTCATGCACCCATTAGTATTGCAGTCGACACATCCGACTCAGTAATCAGAGGAATCTTACAACAATGGGTTAACCACTCTTGGCAACCTTTGGCATTTTTCGCTAGACGGTTTCTAGACACGGAATCGAGGTACAGCACTCTTGACAGGGAACTCCTAGCTATGTATTGTTCTGTACGGCATTTTCAACACTATAACTTCCTTGAAGTGTTTCCAAGGCATCTACCTCTTTAAACTCGCTCAGCTTCAAAAAGAAGACACTGATATTCACAGCGAGTTATCCACATTTGCACTTAAACTGCGCATTAAACAGATGGGAAGAGGTAAGAAAACCTTACTATGTGACACATCTACAGGTAGGGAGCTCCTAATCGTGCCCAAACATTATCGACACAACGTCTTTAACGCATTGCACAAACTTTCTCATCCAGGTGCTCGTGCAACCATCAAGCTCATAACAGAACGGTTTTACTGGCCTGGTATTATTATTATTATTATCAGCTTTATTCAATATTATATTTTTGGTACAACATAAAATTCTCAGCGTAAAGTATTTCAACAAGTTTCCGTTTCTTTCTTCTTCGTCGGTCCTGGCGATAAATATTGAGTGATCGCCAGTTAGATGTTAGCAGTTCACTAAATGAACATCTGAATAATGTGCATTCTTTCCGTTGTATATTGCCAGCAACCACATTGTCTCTTATTGAGTTTTTTGTAACTTTGACAACGAAAGGTTGTACACTTTTCAGAAACGCAGCAGAATAGGTTGTGCGATTAATAAACATAATGATATATTAAAACAAACAAAAATGGATAACTTGTTGAAATATCTAGATGGCAGGAACAGGTAGCCCAGATGATCAAGCAGGCCGCCGAATACAGTGGGTAAGTTACTAGTGGGCTGACTATTAGAGTTTGATAAAGAGTATGAATAAAGACATGGTGGGGGGGGGTGCGCACGCTCCCGCGTAAGATGCCAGAAATTTTAATAATAATAATTTAATTTAAT